CCCCAAAACCCCAAAACCCCAAAACCCCAAAACCCCAAAACCCCAATTTTCAGTAGATATTGAGAACAAACTCAGTAGTTAAAATTAAATATAGTTATGAAAATGGATAAAGCAAACGATAAGAGCAACTTTTAAGTAAAGATTTTAACTCAATGAACTTTATTGGTCTTCATTTGTAAAGAATTCGTGCTCTAATGCTTCTCCGGCTGTGATTCTCTCTTTTGGATCCCATGCAAGCATCTTCTCAATTAAGTCGACAATGATCTTCTTATCCCGCTCATGATAAGTCGATGGGATTAGATCGCAAATATTTTTTCTCTTAAAATGCTCTATCTGGTCAAGTAATTTCTTTGTAGTTGGAGGAATATTTGGAGCCATTTGTCTATACTCTTCCTCTGTAGGCGTACCTAGGATAGCCATCTGCTCTAAGAATTGACTACCTTCAGTTTTTCCCGGAAAAATTGGCTTGAGCATGAGAAGTTCTGCGATTATGCATCCAACAGCCCAGATATCGATTTTCTCAGTATAATTTGATACTCCTAGGATCAGCTCTGGAGCTCTGTAGTACCTACTGACTATGTAAGGGGTATTCTTTCCATTAGGATCTAGAACTTTCGATGATCCAAAGTCACATATTTTCACTTCGTCATCGTCATTTACTAGAACATTCTCTGGCTTGAGATCACGATGAACTACACTACGCTCATGCATATGCTTGAGACCATTGAGAATTTGCCATGAGTAGTGACGGACTTTATCCATGCTGAAAATTTCCTTCTGAGTTTTGATTTCTGTCATCATTGATTCTAAGTTATCACTGCAAAATTCAAAGACAAGATTTTGTGCTAGCTTATCATCTTCTTCATTCTTGGTATAGAAGATGTCTAGAACTTGAATACAATTAGGACATCCCTTAAGGATTTCAAGGATCTCGTACTCTCTGCTGACATAGTCTCCTGCCTTCGTGGTTCTCTTGAGGGCGACCTTCTGGTTCCTGTTCTTGTCATGTGCTTCAAAAACATATCCAAAACTTCCTGAGCCGAGGAGCCCTAATATCTCAAGGTCTGGGATTACATGGGTTGACATTTTGCAATCGAATAATTTTAAATTTCAATGATGATTTTATTAATAGGGGTTTTGGGGTTTTGGGGTTTTGGGGTTTTGGGG